TTAGAATAGTGCCTTAAGATTACTTCGTGCGGCTATAAACAACCGTTAAATGAAATGATGAATTTTTGAAGCATTTTGAAAATGGAAAAAATGATAGTCATGCCGGCCCAGCATCATCAACATTGGAAAATGCCCCGGCACGAAGTGGTTAAGGTACTGTTGCTATGAAAAAACACCCTCTCATGTTGTCACTTGGAGTGGACGGTGACCCTTTTATAGCATAACCGTTGAAATGGATACAGATGAGTGTTCTACCTTCGGGCAAAGCAAGCTGTTTTGAGCTTTATTATAAGCTACCGGGTATTATAACGTACTGGACATCTCAGCATTAGATCTTCCTAACAATGACAGAACACTCTGAAGGTCTGGCATCATTGCATGCTTAGATCTTAATAATAATGATGATTTATAGAGCGCACAGATCCACCAAGGTGCTCAAGGCGCTAGTACATGTACAAAGAAATTAATTAAATGCCTCATTGAAGAGATGAGTCTTCAGATCCTTCTTAAACTGCAGGAGAGAGGGGGAAGATGGTAACCATGCCAACAAATTGATCCAAAGATGAGGTGCAGCACATGAAAAAAAGCGATCCCCCCCATGAATGAAATGACCTGGGTTCTCTAATAAGATTCATATTCATATGTGGTTTGTTTTTGTCTGCTTCAACATGTTTGCTGTCCAGGCTACCGCCAGCACTCGACAACCACAATTATGCCAAATCGCCACTCATGTCAGATGAAGATGTTTCAGCTGCTTCCTCCACATCTTCCACTAGCGAGTCCGAGAGTAACTACCTGACGGACGACGAAAGTGACGAGGAGATGCCTCCCAGCATAGCCACCCAACCTGAGGTAGGCTACAGAATGGAGGGCATCTTGAAGAAACAGTCCTCTCTCGATGACGTGGAGAGGGGCGAGTCATCCTCCCTGCGGGTGACGTTCAGAGATCCCCGGAGGCAAATGGAGGACAACCCCGGGCGGGACGTGTGCCGGCCGCTTAGCATCCAGACGGTGTTCGACAGCAAGGATAGCCCCTCCCCGGCGTCCTCCAGCGGCACCAGCACAGACACGGCCTCGGAGCTGGGCAGCGCCTTCAACTCGCCCGTCTGCTCGGTGTCGGGCTCGCGGGCCAGCAGCCCCAACACTGCCAAGGTGCTGAAGTTCCGGTGCTGGAAGGCCAGCACCATCACGGACGCCAGAGAGAAGCTCCAGGCGTCCATCGCTGCTGACCAGCTGGAAACTAAACATTCCACAAACGCGGTCAAATCGCCCCATGAGAGAATGGCGCAGACAAGACGATCGACTGTAAAACTTATCGAAGGGGATGGGTCAGCTGCCTCTACCAACTCCAATCCGTTGAGACAAGGGGGGACTTTTCTGGAGCCTGCTCCAGCCCAACCCAGCCCCTCCTCGCTTCTCTCCCAACATGGCAAGCCACCTTTTGCACAAAACGTAAGCAACATCCTAGAGTAGTTTGCTGACAAGTGCACTTGTCTTTTTGTACATTCATTTACAGAATGATTTAGGCAAACTTCAGCCCAGTTGTTTCCATCAAATACTTTTTCCACACTGTTGGGATAATCTAATGCAAGTATAAATTGACGAAATGGTTTTTAAAAGTGTTGTCAACGTAGTTGAAGTAGGTCTGGTTTCTAGTGTTCGTTGCAAAGCATTGAAAAATAGTCATGTGTCTCTCAAAAGAAACAAAAAAACCTCCAATTATAAATTACAGGAATCTGATGGAGAAATCTCTCTTTGAGGTCCGAAAAAGTCATTAGAAACTAATTATTAAAAAGGTTGTGGGAAAAGTTGATTAATTTGCCTCTCATGATTACTCTGTCTAGTGCGCTCAGTAGGCTTCTCGTGGTCCAAATGATAGGAGAGAAGTTGTCAGGGAAAGGTCAAAGATAATGTGACCACGCCAGTGTTGTGTTTTAACACGGTAAATGACGAAACTACGTTTGCCCTGTGCAGGATCTGTTGGAGCTCCTGAAGAGCGTGGAGGCAGAGATTGACGTCTATGAACAGAAACTGCTGGACGAGAAGGAGAAGAGGAACAAGTACAAGGTACGTGAACAGGTGCATCATGGTCGTTGAATAACCCCCCCCCAGATCGTGGGTATTGGACTGATCATGCTGACATCAATGGGAACCTCATTGCGGCATGCTTTGTGCAGGATTTGGAAAAAGTTCACTGGACTCAAGGTACGATCCCCCCCCATGGGGACAGTGAGATTTAACAGACACCTCAGAACCATTGCCACCATGTACCCATTTGAAGACACCGTGACATTGTGCACCTTCAGATGAGACTAAGTTGTGGAAATTCAGACGAAAATTAGTTGTGAACATTAAGTTGAAAATTAGTTGTGTATATTCAGATAAAACTGGTTGTTTACATTTAGATGACCATTAGTTTTGCACATTAAGCTGAAAAATAGTTTTGCATACTCAGAGCCACATGCATGCAAATCAGAAGGGGGTATGTCCTCCCTACATTTTCCTCTGGAAGGAACATGGCTCCCCACTCTTGTCATGTCCCAGATTGGTGTCCTCTAGGCACTAATCTGCATAAACATGAAATAAGGTTTCCAATCTACGTAAACCTGAAATAAGGTTTCTGGTTTACTGTCTTATAACCGGACCCCTGTCCAATTTCAAAATGGTTTCATGTAGCACTGCTTAACTGTAGTAGAAATAAGCTCCTGTTGCCAATGAAGCAAAGCCCCCCGAGCATGCACCTATTTGAATGTCCCCCATACACAATCTCTGCCCTCCACAGGTGGACGACTGCCGCCGCTCCCACAACTACGACCCCTTCATCCGCACCTTCCTGGCCATGCTGGCCGAGCAGGGCAAGCTGGCCAGCCTGGTGGAGAAGCACGCCCTGATCAAGCGCAGGCAAGGGGTCAGCCTGGGCCGCCTCAACAAGAAGACCAACAGCCGCAAGAGAGACCGGCGACGCCGGAAGTCGCGCCCGGGCTCGGTGCCCGCCAAGAAAAGAAAAATACGCTGAGGAAAATGTTCCTTTATTTTCTAAAGAGTGGACTGAAGGATCTGTTAAGCAGGACTGTTGGGTCCAGTGGGGTTTTTAAACATACAGATATCAATTTTTCTACATTCGTTGGTATGTTCTTAACCTCGTCATGCCAGGGAATGTGTTTTTAACCCAGGTCTGGCTATCTGTATACACGGGCTTGGCTAATGGGTTAAGTGGCAAGTGTGCCTCTACTCACCTGTGGCTAATGTTTAAATACTCTCTCACCCATTTATGATCTACACAGTCACGTGCGAAGTCTGAGAAGTGTGTAAAGGCGGACCGTGTGTTAAACTTGAACCGGGCTGCTCCTCATGGCCTGCACTTGATGTTATTTGCAGATATCACTCTGTGGATGTCGCCCTGGAGTGCTGAAAAACAGAAGGTTGAGGTGTCAGAAATGCTGCACCCAGTACTGTGCAAGGGACCCTTGCGGATCGGTATTTGTGGCATGTGGCTGAACATTTGAAATTGAAATTTTGAAATAATGCCCTGCCCAAGTGATTAAATTAGCTCAGTAAGATTTGTTGTTGTCTATGATAATGTTGAAAACTTGTAGCTCATGCCCCGCTCAAGTTCTGCACCATGCGGAACAGACAGATTGTTTCCCGGCTGTATGACTTTTGCCACCCTGCAGCGATCCATCCATTGTTTACGAATAAAAGTCGCCAGCCCTAGGTTGTCTCCAGTGTGGTTTTTTTTTTCATAATTTCGGCTTGAAGCTTATGCAGTAAAGTTGAATAAACCATTGCCACATGAAGAGGTGCACAGTCCTGAACCAAGCCATTATTATTACTTCCCTTGCGACAACCAGTTTTTCCCGACAAGATTAAAGTTCATACCGGTGAACATGACTTTACCTTGGTACTCATTTTCTTTTACACCTGCAAAACCCACGTTCTTGGAGGTCACCTCCAACTCTGCCAATGTGACATTGATGGCACATATGGATTATTTAATTGAGTCTGATTTCTGCCTCAAAACAAAGATCACTCGTCACTGAATAGAGTGCGGTGTACAAGTAATAGTCGGGCTGGAAGTAGCAGATTCAGTGTGATATCCCAGGGGAGGGGGGGGTATGATATCACCGGACTCCCCTGGTGACATTGTGCCATCTTTCCCCCAATTTCTGACTACAGGAATATCGCCAGCACTTTACATTTGGCATTAGCAATCCCACTCCCTTCATTTTATAATTTAAAATTGGAAAATGAAGCAGTCCCTCAAACAGAAAAATGACCCTTTCTGTGCGCTTATCCCATACCTTCTAAGCACTTCTCGGAGAGACATTGTTCAAATTCAACTCGTCAGTATCAATGACACCGAGTTTTCGTTGACTTCTCTTCAGACAGAATGTTTCAATAATAACAGACAGGGTATCGTAACGGGATTTGACGAATTTGTGAAAACTTTAAAGCTGTTATCTGTCAATGAGAGGGGAATTCAAGTCCAGGTTCCTGCCAGAATAAGGGTTTAACCACCCGCGTCGGTAGCTAAGACGAGCGCCGACAGGGAAGGCACGCGTGTGAGACGATCCCGACGCGGTGTGGATGGTGCTGTGACGTTCGTGACCAGGCGAACGAATCTCGAATTACCCCAACCAACAGTTTCTTTGCGCCACAAATGAAGCACTTTGTGGGAGGGTAGGCCTTCTTGACAAATTTACAAACTGCTTGAATGTTCGTGCTGCGAAATAGGTCGTTGGTCTAAAATAATGATGACGGTGATATGAAATGAAATTAACGCGGGATACTGACACGTACTGGACTATCGACCCCTGTACGTCGTCGGGGATCTTACCCCCACGTTTCTCAGCTGGTGAATGACGGATGTTTGGCCAATTTGGTATGCTCATGCTAGTACGCAGACGGCATATAACATGCACATTTTGAACCCACCTCACTGGCAATTTCATTTTATGTAAAATTGTCTATTAATTTTTCTCTATGGTATATTGCAGACCAAAAGTGTTCAAAAGTGTTCTTTTTAATACAAAGTTGTCACATGCTTTTCCTAGACCATGGGTGGCTACAGTGCCACTTGCAGTGGCGAATATTAAACCACGTGCCCCCCCCCAGGCGGCAGTTCCCCCACCCCGAAGTTCCCCTCCCCCCAGATTTGAAACTTGGAAACATACACACGTACGAACCAAAATTGAGTTCGCTTCCATTCCCCCATGCAAAATCACGTGCACCCCTAGGTGCCCCCACAGAAATTTCATTTTAATTCTGCTACTGGCGTCCACATCTTGAAGCGTCAGCTAGCGATCATTCAGTAAACCGGTATCAGTTTGATATTTCGATTTTCCCGGAGGAGGGGCATATAGAGGCTTTGCGTGGTAACCATATTTGAGGGCAGTTCTTTTGTTCCACTGAGAAACCTCGTTTATGCATACCCAGCTGTTGAACAAAAGCACTGGCCAGCTGAGATGACAATCATGCAAGCCCTCTATATAAGTACTTACTGAAGAGACTTCAAACTGCTAGAGATAGTTCAGAAATTGACGCACTTAATTCAGAGCAAGCGATCCTGGAAAAAAAAAACAGAGAAATGGTAAACTGAAGTTCCACTGAAGTTTGGTGTCAAGCTGTTCCATTCATTTGGCAGATCCAGGGAGCAATTGGGGTCATTTCCCCAAGGGGTAATATTTTTCTTTAAAAAATATAATGAGAGAAGGGCGATAGTTTGAGACTGTTTCCTTTGCCCCTTCTTAGAGCGTGTAGAAAACCATAAAAATGAACTCCACCCCCTTTAAAGCCAGATTAAAATTGCAGAAAAAAACTCTTTAGTCTTTTAATGAACGATAATACAGCTGTCCGGGCTGATGACCCAGCTGTATCCACCAGGGAGTTTCCACCTTGTGACAGGGATGCCGCCCGCCCACCTGTCTCCGCTGGCAGACTGACGGCATCACTCAACTCGAACTTTTAGTGCCGAGACTGGATCAAAAACCACCCGAGCCTGGCAAAACAGCCCCGGGAACCACTCGGCGACCCAATACCGATCCCCCAAGATCCCCCAAAGCTTTTGAGCACCCACTGTGCAGCTCGTGAAATCAGATTTAGCGGACACTTCTGTGTAGTTTCAATGAGTTTTCCAGAAGAAGAAAGCAAATTGCGGCAAAAGAAGGGTAAACCTGGACGTCATGTCCTAACCATAGCTGTGGGAAGATCTGTATCTCTTTGACGGTTTCTGATATTATGTAACTCTCCAGTTTAGTGCCAGACAAATCTGGGTTGTCGGCGAGGCAGAAAATCAAACTTAGTCGTAAACAACATGTTGGTAAATATTCGAGAAAATTTTTAAAAATTTGGAAGTCAGGGGTTCGGAGTAGTGGTTTGTTTTTCAGGGCGGCGAGGTGGACGCAAGTGATTGAGTTTCGAGGCGAGTGTGAACTTGGGTTTGATGTTTTGGCATCTCGATCACTTTTCGTGCGTTGCAACAGGGCCTTGATAATGGGACGTTCTTGCCTGAGGGTTTCAACGACTGAAGGAATTGTCTGTGATGATTGATGTGAAGATTCTTGAACCGAACATTTTCAGACTTTGGGAATTCTATTAGGGTGCGGAGGAGTATTTTTTCTTGAATTCGACTTCGTCTCAGGTTTCATCTGATTACAGATTTTCAGACGTTGGGAATTCTGTTAGGATGCGGAGGAGTACTTATTCAGTTCACATTGTGACTTTATTTGTGGTTTCACCTGATTACAACCCCTGACAACCCCCGAGCTTAATGTGATCGACCCAAGTATAATTTCTGTTCAAGTATGATCCTAGACTTACCCGATTCCAGTGTCAGAAACGAAGCCTGAACTGGACACAACATTAACGCATTTAGGCCTATGTTTTAAAGTCGAGTTATGCTTGCTCATTAAAATCAAAGTTACTTTCAAGAGCGCTACAGTAGCTCCTTTCGGTTCTCATTTTTACCTCTTTTGCGTTTGTCGAAAAGGTGTTGCTGTCTGACACCAGGTAGCACTGCTCACGACAGAAGCCCAGAGCTGTATATAGAGAGAGTTGCGACATAGGTTCCAGCACGCTCCGTTATGACCGGCCATTTTGTTTCCAAAATCTGAAGCTGACGTTAATTTCTGAACACAGCTTTGCAGAAATCTACAAGACATGCACGATGCATATTTCGTGCGTACTTACACAGCCTTACTCCATGCTTACTCCCGGCTGTTTGAATTGCTAACTTCGGGGAATTTCCATTAACTCTTTCCTCAGCGACCTCGCCACTTTACGTAAACACTTTTGCGTTTGATGTTGGGAGGACTTCAGGAATGACGTTTTAAGGGGGGATTCGGTAAAAACATGTACCGGTAGGTCACATGATCCTACGACCCATCTACCTCTCTGCCATCCCGAGTTTTTACCTATTCTTTTGTTCCTTCCGCTCATGGAGAGCCTACATCACCCAGCAGAAAAAAATCCCTTTACCCTGGAAAACCTCGTATCGGAGCAAATCTTCATTCTTCATCAGTTCGAACCACTCAGGCATGTTGGAAGTCCTTGTGTCGAATACAGGTAGCGTGGGTAGGTGTCCGATACTGGGCACAGAAACACCATCTCCTACCCAGGGCTACACTGGGTCTATAAGAGATGTTTATGTGTTACATTTCACTTGAAGGGTGGGCTCAAGGAGCAACCTAATCTCTAGAAACGCCCAGACAGTGGGTTGATTAAAAGAGAAAAATAGAACAAACCAAGAGAAGCAAAAACCGAGGCCTCTCGTCGTATCTATTTTTAGTGAAAGACTCAAGGAAAGCTAGATCGTGACATTTTCCAGCGCATCGACGACAACTCTTCAACTGGAGTCGTATGGAATTTGTTTTCACGCCCACTAAAATGTCTTTCCCAGAAGAGACGGATAGCAGTTGCGTTTTTTTAAATCTTTTTTTTTTCAGTTAATTCAACTATCCAACCTAACCCCATCATATTTTTTTTTATAATTTTTGAGTGCGTTCGATTACCTTCCACGGGGCAACCCTGAATTGTTGACGTGTGTGCTTTGTATCAAGCGAGACTGTGGGCATGGGCAACCCGCGCCAACTCTTGGAAGCAACTCGAGCGCACATTGAACCGCAGCGTTTGAATAAAAGTCTGAAAAGCTGAAGAAGATGGTTGAGAGTTGAACCAAGATGTTAAAAAGTTGAACCAGGACGTTTGCTTGCCCGTTTAAAATACGATGCAAAACTGATGAAGTTTCACGATCGGTATAAAACACCAAACTATATTGAATACCGACTTTGATCAGACAAAAATAATGTAACGGAACAATTGTGACATGAATCCGCAAGACGGCGTCGCCATCCAGCCTCTCGGATTTCTGACTGAGTGCCGACGGAAATTGGCCACCAAACTGCGTCATAATATCACATCGAGTGGATCATCGACTGCTTCTGCGCCACACCATGCGCGCTGCGCTCTTTCATTCATGCCGCCCGTCAATGATCTGCTTCAGATATCTGCCAAAATTGTGACGGCTGCAGTGACGTCTACGGCGCACACGTCATCACGTTTTCGAAGCGAGCAGGACGATTTGCACTCAATTGAGTGGCGTCCCTCCACCTTAATTGGGATCAGCTGTCCGCATCCAAATCAATTCCCGATCCAATCAGGCTGCTCACCTAGCTCATTTCTCGACAAAGTTTTCGTCAATTACGTCCAATGATGCGAGAGGCCCGTAATTGAATCACAGGCGGAACAGATGGAGGAACATTTCTCCCGATCTTCACATTTGGGGACGGTCTCCATAAATTCAAATTCTAAAAAAGACTATACATGTTCATGGCCTGTTGAAAGTAAGCTGCAAAAGTCCACTCCCCCCTCCTTAAAAGTGTTGTTGATCAAGGAGACTATCCTTGCCAGTGTTCCGACAGGTATAGACCGGAGTTGGTCGTATGGTCGTAGCGATATTTCTTGAAGTAAAGAGAAAATGTCGCTGCGGACACGTGTTATTCACAAAATCGTGCGAACGAGCAACTACCGCATAGTAATGTAGAAATGGGTTGGAAACGAATAAAGGCTCCCCGCAAGAGCAAAAGAGGGCGCTTTATTACCTCGCGTCGAATTCAACTTGGGTCGGTACGAGGATAGACTGCCCCCGTAATTGCAGTTGTAACACGTAAATTGAATCATGGAAGTGTGAACCACGCAACCTTTTGGCCCTGATTTTGTAGCAAAAGGGTAGCTGCAATGATTTTTTTGTTTTAATACAAACTTTCAAAATGCAATCTGTGTCTCAGTTAACCTTATTATTTGCAACTTTTGTTTCACTATTTCAAAGGGTATTTTGCTGCCTTTTGGGGTTTTATGCTTTTTAATGGTATTTCCATATTCATGAGCGAAACTGTGATGTCTTCACAGGAAGAAAGCCTAAATGTTACATTCGTTTGTGCACAAAAAGTCGTGCATTTTGGTAGGATTTACTTGGCTTAATTCTCTCTTCTTTGCTAATTAATTGGCATTTGTGTGAACAGCAATAAGTGGGCACCTGTGCCTTTCTCAAAAGGTTTTCAGTAAGTAAATTCTGGGTTTACAATTTTAATAGAAAATCCTATGCAATGAATATATATTTTGGATGACATCACAAAGACAGCGCCCTCGGTTGTCCAGGAAAGCGTGCATAATTTCAAGTGTTTAAAAAGTGCACCTTTCAGTGCATTTGAGCTAACGGGAGTGTAAAAGAGTGTTTATACATTGAAGAAGAGTGCAGAGTTGCAGGAACATCGTGTCTATGAAACAATTGCGGTTACCCTTTAAGAAGTGTGTGTAAGCGACTTGATTGGCTGGGATAATTTGCTGGTAACTTTGATACAAAGGTATTCATTATAGGCCTATAGGGAGGCCGGCAAGCAAGCAAGCCTATAACAAGCGTAACGAGAAACCAGCCAGCCTAGCAGCAAGCTACAATTGACCAATCAGCAAGCTTGTTGGTCGAGGATAATCGAGCCAGCCAGCTATTAGAAACATTCTGTTAACTATGATACGGTGGCTTCAAAAAGACACCTCAAATCGTGAACGTGGACGTCAATATTAGCAAATTGCGGTGTCACTTGAAAGCCACCGTAATATGACCAACGCGCACGTTTGAAAAAAAAACATGCTGTGAATAACTGTTTTTAATTCTTTTAACCACATACACGTCAATCCACACCCTTTTCTGGATTCTCTCGCTCCACAAGATTTATGCAACATCAGAATGCAGGTTAAAGTAGACAAGGGGCAATTCTGAATTAAATGCGAAATATTTCTGTTCTGTAACGATCTGCTCTAGCCCTTTTTCTGTCTCGACCAAGGGACACCCTATTGTCATTTAACTGAACTAGCAATGAGAGTTCATACGCTTTAATTTGCACAAGCACAACAAGAACACATGTCGGAACACCTTCGATGGGGCTACCAAGACTTTGCCCTGCTCTCTAATAAAAACAAACATCGGACCTCTGCGAACTACGAAAAACCCCGGGGCCCTTGGAGACCTGCCGGAAATAATGTAACGGGCTTAAGCCTCAGCGTATACCTGTGGTGAACTCTTTTCAAAGCCCACGACAATGTCGTCACATGTGCCCAAAGGCCTTTCGTGTTTGCACAGTTTGCCTTTTGTTCATTCAAGGTCATTCCTGCAAAAATCTGGGGTTCATTGCCTTGAAAATTCACCAAAGAAGTGTGACAACGACCCCCTCCTCCTCACTTGGGGAAAAAAGGTCCGGGCGCAGGAAGAATTTCGACTAATTCCCTTCTTCGGTGATTATGCCCGTTCATGTCAAGACACCCAACCAAGCGTAGTTATTGGTGAGCGAGATTCCGGTAGTGGTCCCGTGGCCAGCTGCGAGGCTTCGGCGCAGTCACATTTTGAAACAGTTACCTCGGAGTTTGCACGCAGCGCATGCACGGCTCAGTGGTGCATCTTTGTAGCACGGCATACTGCATAGTGGCCGTCGTTACGTGGTGTGTGGTGAATGCTGTTCGCGCTGATAGTCTGATATTGCTGGAGGTGTTTCCATTTTGACGCTGTCCAATCAGTGTTGGCTGCCAGGCTAGTCAGGCGCGCGTGGACACATGTCCTCTTGGCAATTGATGTACCGGTACATGATGTACGTACGTACACCTAAATCGGTTACCAATGGTATATCGTATCGCCTCATCAACGCTCCACGAGTAAAAAGATCGAGTCGACAGCAGTGAGCGGTGACGAGTAGCGTGTATCTCAGTTGATGACATGTCCTCTAGCTCCCCAAGCTGTCAGTAAAGCCGAAAGGTCTTCATCTGCTCTGATCGAGCGACCACCGGGAGTAACTAGCAAGCAAGCAACTGTTATAAGCCCCAAGGACTGGGCGTGTCGAGGGGAGCCCAAAATCGCAGTGGAAGCAGCCCGTTGGTGTCGCAGTTGTCAGTGAATGTGTGCCGAGCCTGGGAGGTAATGACCAGTACCCCAGGAGGGGTTTAGAGTACTTTTCATCCACAACCTCGCCGGGTTCTCGTAAATCCACCTGCGGTGTTTACACAGTGTTGCCACTGTAGTACCGTACATCGGCCGTGCGTTTGCCAGGCCTTGCGTACCCGCAGAGGCCTACTGGGAGGCCGCGCTTTGAACAGAAATTATTTCTTGGTTCCGCTGTCACTTACTGTTTGAGGCTTGTGAGAAGGGACATCATCGGGACAAGAGAAACCTTAATTTCCCAATCAAAAACTATACTAACATTCGCGCAAGCAACATGTCGGTCGTGGCGGACCCGCACCAGAACTCGCTGGGCCGAAGCGGCCAGGACCGCGGCGAGAGCGTGCCCCTCAAAGACAAGGACGGCAACTGCAACGCCGTGGATCACGTCTTAGGGGACGGCAAGGAGCCGGGAACGCGGGATGCCCTGGAAGAGGTACAGGAGGCGGAGGCCCCCGACCCACCTGGTGGCAAGCGGGAGACGTGGTCCCACAACGTGGACTTCGTGTTCGCCTGCATTGGCTACGCCATCGGTCTGGGCAACGTGTGGCGCTTCCCCTATCTCTGCTACAAGAACGGAGGAGGTAAGTAGAAAAGTAGAAATTACTAGCCATGTTACTGTTTGTGCAACAGTCATCACAGCCCGCATGACAGGTACAGCAAGCTTGACACTGACAGGTGGACCTGTGTTGTTTAGAAGATGGCTGAGTTTTGTTTTGTTGTTTTCAGTAGTCGACGTGCTGACACCTAATAATTATGCTCCACCTTCCGTCACGTCTAATGGCCGTCCATTTTTCAACTTTCTACTACGTTGGAGGTGTAATTAAAATCCTGAACCTCAAGCATTGTCGATGGGCGTGTACAAAATTGTATATGTCATTAAAAATAAATATTTGCTCACGGAACAAAATAATTGAGCAGTAAAGTGCTTGCCCATGGACACGCGACCATCATTCGAAGTTCTCCCATGTACACAAACCGACAGGCCGCATTAGCCACATTGAAAACCCGCTAATCATGAATGCCAACACAACACCATGACTACGTGACCGTAGTAACGCAACCGGATCGACCCATCAATCAAAAGCAAAGCCTGTAGCACACTCAAAAGAGATATTTAAAAAAACACACTGGAGAAATGACACTGTAACTTGCAGTTTGGAAAATGTTTTCCCTGTCGAAAATTTTCAACCCCCAAGATGGTATCTTTACACCGCAGAGGCTCCATTTTCACCTAAAGAAATCACCCATGGATAGTTCCCATCTCTATAGTTCAGTGGAATATCTACGGTGCAATTCGCTGGAGGACTGTACGCCTGCGCAAGAAAACATCAGTCTGCTGAAACAAATTACAGTGCACCAGTGACTCTTAGGTAACACACGCAAAAGCATGCAATAGAGAGGTACATATAAACAATAGGTGATAGGTCAAGGATAATCGATAGTATTGTCGATGACTGCTCATCGGGTTTTTGTCCACAGGTGGTCACTGGAAATTGGAATAATATTTTGTTTCAACGCACGAATTGGCAATCTCTGTTGATGATACACTCTGTAAGGGTGTTTTGCATGTCATCAAAAACAGGCAAAAGAAAACAGGAACGTTAATCCCACAATGCATTGACTGCACCCAGTGAACAATATGGGCATATTGTGTGCATAACGGGTATATACAAAAATTGTGCCATCATATTCCAAAACAAATAAACAACGGGGAGAATTATGTAGTTATCCAACAAGTGGTTTGTTCAAGTTGGCGATGTGTGTATTTTTCCTTTCCTAGCTCCGGAATTTTCGGCCGCCAGAGATCATTGGTCACTGTGGTTGATGTAAACAAAAACCTGACGGCCGACGCCGATGTTGGGGGGTAGAAATATGTGCCTCGTTATCATTTTCTCACCTCGGTTACGATACACACGCGGCAGCTTGTGCTGTACCGTACAGGTGAATAATATATTATACACCTGTTTGATAAAAGTACCTGCATGTAGTCGTTCAAACGACCGTGATCGGCACAGACCTACATTATATATATATTCATGTACACCACACATACTGGCAGAGCCAAAGGTGCAGACACAGCCATCGCCCCCTGTAAATCCGATCGATATCCCGCCCCGGGCGGCACGGGCCAAGAAAATTGGCGCGCCGGCACTTTTCACATTCGCGTCGATTTCGAACGGCGCAAAACGGGGTTGATAGGCCTTCATACCTGCAAGCCTGTTTTTTCATCATTCATATAACATACTTCACGCCTGACTGGGAAATTGAACCACCGACATTAAATTCTAGATATCTGATCGCTTGGCAAAGTCTCCACGATGAACGCAATATTATGGTGTGAGACACGACAAACTCAAGTAATAGTCACGGAAAGCACAGTACACTTCACGTTTACCGGGAATTCCATTTACCTCACGTCCCTGGATTTGTGTGAAATACCCTTGCTTGTCAGAAAGGGGTGAGTTTTTCCCTCACAGGTGGATAAATGCTCGGGTAAGTGGCTGGATCAAAGAAGGATTTAGTGTTTTGAACGGAAGTTGCCTTTGAGGCACAAAATCCATGCAGGCTTTTACGGCAAGTTGTTCATTTTCTGTCTGACTCGCTGAAGCAACACGTTTGGTACAAAAAAACTTGGCAAATGGTGGTCGATGTACTGTTGTCGATTACTTTTGTTAAGTTCCCGCCATGGTTTTTCCAATTTTGCGTCTTGTTTGCTAATCTGTCCATGCAGTCTGCAAAGTACTCGCATCCTTTCACAGTTTTCTAAGGAGGAAACGACCCGTTGTGAATTCGGTGTCTTTATTTATAGTCTGCAAAGTACTCGCATCCTTTCACAGTTTTCTAAGGAGGAAACGACCCGTTGTGAATTCGGTGTCTTTATTTATAATCCTCAAATTTAATTTCTTGCGGATTTACCTCTCAGGGAGTGCATTAGAACATGTTGTATCTGGCTCACTTTCCCTCACAGAAACTGTTCTACGACTTTGCATCGGTTCATTACCTCGTCTCAATGATGCAGCCTTCCAAGCCTTGAGTCTGGCCAAGAGCCCGTGCTTAATACGGGGATTGTATGCTTATTTGTCAAAAAGCCTGGGAACATAAAACCCCGCTCTCACAATCGGGAACACCGGCTTTAATTTAAATGGCGACCCTCACATTTCATGTGCACATAATTGAGTGCTTAAAAGCTGATGTTTTGCTGGAACCTCCATGCAGTGTTGCAGGTTTAACTTCAGTGCGTCTGCTGGGTGTATTGGAGCAATGGTAATCTGAAAGGAGAAATTATGAGCTTTGATTTGCGCAACAAAGGCTTTTTTTAAATCAGCGTTCATTCTTACATTACAATGGATCGACTGAGCACCGCCAATTTTCAAAGCAACCGCCAAAGCTTTCTTTTGCTCGGTCGCGAGATGAGTTAATTTGTCCAGAAGTTTCAGCGTGTCTATGACCTGCGAGTTGAATTAGAGTGTTTATGTCAAAACTGTGATCAAAACACGGTTGTTTAAACGGGTAAGTGCCAATATACCACTTCCATTTTGCCAACAACTTGTATGGGCGGCCAAAGTTTGCAGACTAATGATCATCTTTTGGTTGGTTTCTGATTTTACCTCCAATTCGTTCAAATTGGACAATTGTCCCATTAATTTTAAATAGGGTTGTATTTTCACTTAGTATTTAGTAGTATGTGTATTATTATCTGGAACTGTGATAGCTGTGTGGGATTTTTTAACACTTTATGATTTTTTTTACTTTTTCCTGACGGCCAACCGTAGTTTTAGTAGTCACTTGTGCGAAAAACACGACTGTGTCGCCAAAAGAGCAGACGCTATGCTCTCAAACATTCTTTTGCCAAATTAGACTGGTTCCCAAACCTCGGCTTCAGAAACTTGGCTGCATCACTTTGTGTCAACCTGAAGCATTCCATCAAGATGCCACATGTCGCTGACGATTATGACAAGTTGTGCTCTGTGTTGCATGTATTTAATGTTCTCTAAAGCGCCCAAACATTCATTAAAAAGAAAAGAACTATTGTTGCAAGCGATTGATGCGCCTCCTCGTCGGTGTGCACCATAACCCACTTGTCAGGCACTTAAAATACTTGCACACCGAATAATTGATTGATTTGAGCACGAGGAAGCGAAACACGGGGTCAGGGTGGGCGTTGAGGAGGTTGTGTCCTCTCCACAACCTTTCGCCCGCATCTCTCTCCCCGTGTTATCATGTTGCTCACCAGCAGGTCTCCAATTAGAAGAGATTTGACTTCTTCGGGGGAGTTGCAGAGGCTCCAATTGGCTTGGGTCCACTTCAGTTTTCCCTTTATTGAAAATAACCCTCTTAAAGAACTTCCATATGAGATGAATTTAAAGGGAACATAATTATTTGTGCACCTCTCTGCCACTCTGTAATATATGAAAACATGCTTACATTAACCGCGAGGAGTACATTTTTTAGTTCCCATGCCTTTCCGGACAAGTGAGGGCGTTGTAGCTGTATTCACACTAAATTTTGTATACTCGTTACAAAGTTGTTCTCAGTAGACAAACCCAACTGGCGGTAAGTTTATCTTTAAAAAGTTTAAATATAAAAATATTTTTAAAACAAGGGAAAAGGGAATAAAAGGGTGCTTTTACAATTACTCTATTTAAATTTGTTATACCATAGAGCTAATACGTGCCCCTTAGTTCATGGCCCACCTAGCTCGTACTTAAAAAACCCAGCGCCAATAAATAACTCGGCGAGCACACAGTTGGAGACATTTTGGCATAAATATTTACCTCCCCAGAAGACCAATATTTCCCTGGTGACAACCCGGGTTTGCACCAGATTCACTGTCGCCTTTAATCCCTTTTTGACAATCTGTGCCGTGCCGTGTCCATCCCTGTGATAACCTATTCCTAGTGGGTTCGCTTTTGTTTTACTGGTCTTGCGTCAGACTCTGACTGGAGTTCTGCACAGAATCACACAACTTCTCTTTGTACAAAAGTTTGGCATTTTTTTAATGAGAGTAAACATTTTCGAGGGGGCTTTCATTTTATGGCAAAATGCAAGATGATCGACTGCTATCGTGAACCAGTCGAATTTCGTCGTTGTGATTCTGCGGAGTCACGGCCACTATTGGTGCGCCATGTTGAAAAAGAAAGGAAAATAAAGACGAGAGAACTCCGTTGAAAAGATGTTGCGGTCTATTCCTGTTCCCCTTTTAACAGTGGGTGGACCTGCAGTGCAAAACTCAGCGGGAACCAGCCACGCATAAGCGTATTCAACGAAGTCACCGACGCTGTGCATACTGACGGACTGGCGGACAGTTCGCACTAGACTTAGTATATCGCGCCAAACCGCTGTGCATTTTAATTTGCTCACCGTCTGAAGAAAGGAGAAAAAGAACTGGGTGCCCCGTTATCAACATCCATCGGCGGTGTTGGATCTTATTAAAAAGCTATACTCTCCGAACATGAGGGAAAATTTGGCGCTTACACAAAATGTTGCTGATGGTTGATGGCCTGTAGATAAACCCTACACACGCAATTCAATAGAATTCGGTGAAACCATTGGGCTCACACGCCCAAAATAGCAGTCGTCA